CTCGGGTCATGTTGCGCAGAATCTGCAGGGGATCCAACCTAAATAGATTCTTGAGGTCAATGGAGAGGAGTGGAAAAAAAGAGTCGGCTGAAACCAGAGAGCCATGTTCTAGTGTTGGTTGTTCACAGTTTAGCAGCATGACCTTGGGCCGGTCACTGAATTTTACCTGCCCTCAGATTTCTTTTTAAGGAAATCAGGGGGGTTTTGAGGGTTGTGGCATTTTAAAGGAGCCACTTAGATTTCTGTGGTTGTTTGAGCTCACTCTGTCTGTCCTCTTGATTAGTGCAGTCTCCTCCTCCCCATCTCCTCCTTCCTGTCTCCTCCTCCCTGCCTCCTCCTCCTCACGTGGCCAGAGCTTGCTTCCATAAGCACTTTTCTCCCGGTCTTTGTAGCTTTGCCACTTCTGCCCCACCCCTCAGATCAGCCAGTGTGCAGATAAGAACTGCTGTTGCTGCCCTGGTCTGCGCCCAGCAGCATGGGGGAAGGTCTAATGTTTGGATAGATTTGGATAGTGTTGGGGGCCTATGGTGTATGGATTAGAATAGGAGGGGAGTGGGAAAAATCATTGGGGGGAAGAAGCCAGCCAGGTGATTAGGAGTTGTTGGTATTGATGTGTGAATGTCCAAACCTGTAGAGAATTATCATAAAAATTTATTTGAGCCAAACAGAGGATACGCCTGGAAGCAAGATCTCAACAGATTGAGATAAATGCTTCCAGGAAATGACAGATTGCAGCTTCTTTTATGCATTTGGATTCATGGAGGGAACAGAAGCCATATTACACAAAGGTGGGAGAAAGCAAGGCGGGTGGGGGAGGAGGTGGGATTACAGGAGGGCTGAGAAAGATGATGCGCTCTCTTGCGGGTGGTTATGCTTTAGAAGGAGGGGTCTGAGAAGGGGCATTTCAAAGGTGTGTTGACTTGGATGCACAGAAACAGTGGACAGGGCTTGCTGAAGGCAAAGAGAAGCCTTTTACTAAAGAAGTTATATGCCCTATTAGGATTTATAATCAGGTCACCCCTGTGAGGTTAATTTCTATAGAACCTTTTTTTTTTTTCTGTCCACATTGGTGTATCTATCCAAGCTCTTGATGCCCCAAGGTCCCTGGACTCTGAGTCACTTGACCAGAGGGCACTAGTTAAGCTCTTCAGAACATGGTCCCAAGTTTATCCTCTTCTTCCCTGGCCAGGCTTTGTGCTCAAGGATGACCAGACACTGGAGCAATGAAGGCCACAGTGTTGGTAGAGGCTGCTCAGTGAGAACTAAAAGGTATCTCACAACTAACACAGAAAGGGAAGGAGTTGGGGAAGGTAGATCCGTCTCCAAGACTTATAATTAAAGCTGGAAGGAACTCATCTAATCTAACTCTCCTATTTTATGGGTGAGGAAACTGAGGCCCACAGATGTGACTTAACCAAACCATAAAGCAGGCTAGTGGTGGCCCTGAGGTGGTAATCAACCTCCCGATTCCCAACCAGGGGAGCCGTAAACATCCCATGAAGTGGCCACAAGTTGCCTCCTCACCTGGGTTCAGCCACCACACTTTCCACTCCTCTCTTTGACCCTGAGCTTGATTGTCTTAGGTGTGAGCAGGGCCCCGACTGCTCCCACCTCGTTGTTCACTGCGGCCTAATAAAAGTTGGGTGCAGCATCACAGAGAGGTCAGGCTTCTCATGGGCAGGCTGTTTGTCTTGTGCTTAGTGACTTAACACTGTTGAGTCAGCAGTATTCTGTTTTATGGCACGTCTTGAGGTGAAAGAGTAATTCAAGAAAGAAAGGTGAGGGCTGTGAAGGCCTCTTGTGGGTTTGCCATTAAGATAAAAATCTCCTTTGTTGCTAAACAAGCCTCGTGCTGAGACGCTCACGCAGAGGGCCTGCATTGTGTGCCGCCCGCACTGTCCCTTGCTCTGAGAGAGGGCTCTCGGGTTAGAGGCCGGCCATCCCTTCGCTGTGTTGATGGCATGTGAACCAGACAGATGTCACACACT